TCAGATAGATTATTCAGTGTTTTACTTACATACTAATGCAGGTAATATCCTCCTCGTTTATGTTTGATGATATTGTGATTACCAGTGATGACTCAGTTGGTATTGCCAAGTTGAAACAATTTCTGCAACACAGATTCCATACCAAAGATCCAGGCAAACTTTAGTATTTCCTTGGTATTTAGGTCGCTAGATCGAAATAAGGATTAGCTTATCCCAAAGAAACTATGTGCATGATCTTTTGGAGGAAACAGGTTTTCTAGGTGGTCGACCAATTAATATCCCTATGGATCTAAACTACAAACTCTCAGTGGATAAAGGTGAATGTTTCCCAGATCTTGGAAGATATAATCAACTTACTAGAAAGTTAAATTATCTTACTATTACCCGACCAGATATATCTTATAAAGTGAGTATAGTAAGTCAATTCATGGAAGCTCCTCGAGTATCACATTAGGATATAGTGATCCGTATTATCAGATATCTCAAGCGAGTTCTTGGACATGAGTTGTTGTATAAATCTTACGGACATCTTAGATTGGAAGGGTTTACAGATGCTAATTGGACAGGTTCCGCCTCAGATAGACGATCTACTATCGATTATTGTACCTTCTTGAGAGGTAATTTGATTACATGGAAGAATAAGAAGCAAATGGTGGTAGCATGGTATAGTGCAAAAGCTGAGTGCAAAGTAATGGCTCACACCTGTAGTGAGTTAACATGGTTGGAACACTTCCTTGAGGAAATTGGTTTCCCAGTCAAGATTCCGTTTGAATTGTTTTGTGATAATCAAGTTGCTATTCATATTGCTTCTAATCTTATGTTTCATGAGCAAACAAAGCACATTGAAGTTGATTATCACTTCGTTCAAGAGAAAGTGTTGCGTGGAGATATTATCACACCTTTCGTTAAATCTGAGGATCAACTTGCTAATATGTTTACTAAGTTATTGAGTAGTTCTCGGTTGAGAAATATTTATTCTAAGCTGGAATTATATAATATATATTCACCAACTTGAGGGGGAGTGTTAGAATATATAGAATGACATTGATGTAATAAGTATATCTGTGAGATCTCGTATTTCATTTAAATATAAATTATCTTAACATGTTAATATTTTTAAAATGATTAAAATGATGAGAGAAACTTCAAATCGTTGTTAAATGAATAGTCGCGTAAGTTTAAAGTACGAATATATTGACTTTTGGGTCAAATTTAATTTTTAGAAGTGTTTAAAGTTGATAAGGGTAACTATGTAAATATATTAATGTTTTTATGTCAAAATAATATTACCATTGAATCTAGGAGGTCCGAAAAACTTAGAATAATCATTTAGCACAGATAGCAGTTCGGAGGGATAAAATAGTAATTTTAGTGTTTTGAGTGTAAATTTACTTTATTTTTGAGATAAATCATAAAAACTAAATTTTTTTAGGTTAAAATAACATTAAAAATGAATCTGGAATGTCGAAAAATCTTAGGGTAGTCATATGAATCAAATTGGAGATTTTTTGTGGCAAAACCGTAATTTTGAAAAAAACCCAAATTTCAGCCCATGAACAGTAAATTCGGGGAATGCTGGGTTTAAAACCCAGTTTTCAACCCCATTTCTTCCATTCTTTCATATCACTCTCACCCAATACCTCTTAGAACCTTAAGAGAAGATAAAGAGAAAAAGAAAAGAGAAGAAAAATGTCTCTAAAGCTTGAGTTTTGCTTGAAAATCCTAGGAACTTGACTTGGAATTCTTGAGTTCTAAGTGGGGTTTTCTTCTCTCTTTGCATTTGCAATGTGCATCTCATGTATTTTCTTTAGTTAAAGCTTATCATGTATTGGATGGCAAAATACCTGCTATAAATCTTGATTTAGTGTTAAATATACCATGGATTGTGAACCTATATGCATAAAAATAATTTTTTTTTGTTATGGGTTTGAAAACTTAATTTGATTTAGTTATGAGTATTTGATTAAACCTATGATTTTTGGGTTTTGAAGTATGTTATGATCTTGTACATAATATATATTACATATTCTCTTGGAAATAAAAATAATTTTATAGTGGGTTTGAAACCCTAGTTTGATTTTAGTTATGGGTATTTGATTAAACTTATGATTTTGGGGTTTTGAAGTATGTTATGATTTTGTATAAAATATATATGACTTATTCTCTTGGAATCAGTTGTGTTGCTTTGAAAATGCAAATTTTGAGATTTGAGTATACTACATGTTTGATAAAATGTCAAGATTATGACATGAGTTTTTAAAAGGATTTATGGATATAAAAAATTAATGAGTTTTAGAAAATGTACGCTCGATACTGATAGGTAGATGATTAGTAGACGGTTGGGCCTATGGAGTGGGTTGCCAAGGCGGCTACTAGTCCTAAGGGGGATTGGTTATGGTAGTGGTTTTCGGTGATAGCCTATGTGGCGTCACAAGTTGTGCCCTACACATTTCCCTTAAAAAGCAAGAAGAGCGATGAAACCCTAGGGTGCAAGACCCAAAAAGTTCCCCGAGGATGGTTCATGCGTGAACCGGTATGATTAATTATATTGTCCGTATGCAAGGCATGTATGATATTTGCTATGATGGTTTGACTTTAATTTATACCTTGTATATTTTTAATGTTGAGGGGTTGAGAGATTTTTATAAATACTTTACTTATTATCCTGTACCTGTATTTAATTATACAAAGCTTTCATTACTTATTCGTATGATTTGTGGAATGTTGGTTTTTAAAACTTTGTAAATGTTTGGGAAAAGGATTATCCTACTGAGCACGTGGTTGCTCATCTCTTACTAATATTTTCAGAAACTAGCATGTATCTTGGGGCATAAGTGATGGAATGCTTGTGGAAGCTTGGACTTGAAAGAATCTCTTTTGGAACTTTTTTTGTAATTACCTTTAGAACTTATGTAGAAATGTTAGTACTCAAACATTGTGTTTGAAAAGGTTGTCTTGAGACATTTATGGTGTACACTTGATCATCTTATAGAGAGATTATTATTTTGGATATTGTAATCTAACGTTATGATTTTAGGTACTAAGTTGTGGTATATATTGATGTTGGATGTATTCGGGTTTGGGAGGACTTCGTGGGCCTCTAATTGCCACCTCAGATTTAGTTGGATTATATTTTTGGATGGAGGCATGTTTTTGGATGTTTAGTTAGTTTAAATTATGTTATGCTCTTACAGGGATGCTCTTACTAACTGGTTGGAAGCCCAATTTTCAAAGGAAACTCTGTCAAAATTTTCAAAAAAAAAAAAAATGATTTATTTTAATTAAAGAGATACTTTCCTAGGTGTTTTTACAACATACCGACATGTGTTTTTTTTAAATAAACAAAGTATTTGTTTTAATCACGTTTTTATGAAATTTGGGACGTGACAATATCCCAAGAGAGATATAGTAGTTTTTAGTTATATTGAGATACACACACACATATATATATATGAGATGAAATGGAAGGTAGGTTACTATCAGTCAATTCTTTCTTACGACTGTCTCTCTCTCTTTTTCTTTCTCAATTTTTACAGTATGCAATATTAAAAACAACCCTTAATGTGCTACCCCTCGCCTGCCGCTTCTCAGGCACTTAAATTATGATACTAACCTCCCCCTAAGTTTGTGTCCAATAACAATAATAATCCTTGGTCAATCCTGGGGAGGCCTCAAGTATTTCAAGAAATGTATAAGAAAACCATAAAATTATGTTGTACCATAAATACCCTTCTTGAGATTGCACACGTGTGATATTAGTTCTAGTAACAAATTGAAAGGAGAATTCTAGTAGTTCATTATAAAAATTCAAGTAAACATGTCTAAAGAATTTCAAAATGCCTTCTTGGTTCACCCATTTAGCAAATATAGCAATGCTCCACAAAGTTAATCATTTAAATTTAATAGGTGAAATTAATTGTAGATCAAAATAAAAGTAGAATCCTTCACTTTATGAGTCCCAAATTTAAAGCGGAAACTCAAATAACCTAAAAAGTTATTGTTTTTTGGGGGTTGGGGGGGAGGGAAGTGTTGCAAGCAAGAAGGGATACAATGAAAAAAGAAAACAAATTTTGTTTTAGTATAAAGTGGTTGGCATCTAAAGGCTTACTAGTGTCATCAAGAGACAAAGAGAAAAAGGCTTACTAAGGCAAGGTTCAAAGTTTCTTTTCCGTGCAGTATTTTCGGTCACTAAGGAAACTAAAATGTTTTAGACAAAGAAAGAAAAATAACAAAAAATATGAGAATTTATTTCAAAAATATTCTAAAATATTATTCGAAATATACCAAAATATCTTGAAACACATCAAAATATTCCAAAACATTGGTGAAAACATGTCAAAACACCTCGAATCATTGGAATTACGATTCAATCATGGTTTGTTTTGGCCTTCTTAAAAACATATCGACCGTTTCAAAACGAAATTATAATTTTTGTATCTTAGCTGGATTCTTAATTTAGCTTTGACTCTATTGTTGATTTTTAATTCTCTATAACCAAAAGACTATCAAAATATTACATTGTCATTGATGTCACCGCAAAAATGTGTATACATGTAAAAGATTAGACACAAGCCTATTGTCTATGGTGGGGTTTGATTAGGTAAATGGTAGACAACCTTGCCACATTTTGCAAAAACTAGTTTTCAGACTTGAATCCAAGAACTATTACTTGGGTGGATGAACACTTGTCACTGTCTCATCGGACCTCTATATACATGTCAATATTTCAATAAACAACTCATTAACATTTGTTCATTTTCTACATTTTATATGCAATAAGTATTAATGTTATTATTCGTAATCTTTTTCTGAATTGCTAGTGACATTAGTAAAAGTACATAATCGATTAGAAATCTACTAAACAAGAAAAATTACGACACTATATCTATAATAAAACATGGAATTAACCAACTTGATCTAACTACAACACAATTGACATGGCTATCCATAATAACAACAATACCTTCATGTAGTTAGGCTTATATAAATTGATAGTAATATCACCGACCTATAACGGATGCATACGGGGCAATTTTTTCATGGAAAATTGGCCTGTAGTGTTCTGGATGTGCATAGTAGTCAGCCTGAAATGGAGAAACATGTTAGGGTTAGCATTTTATGCATATACATGTGTCAAACCCTGTTAAAGAGATTGATCCCTTCATATTCAAGTGAGATAAATGACTTCTAATGAAGTAAAAAGAAAATAACACACCAAGCTCAAACATTAAATGAACTTAGATGACTGAATTTTTTAGTTTCTTGATGGAAACCTGTAATTTTGGAATCAATATGCAAAAAATGCGGAATAAACTGAAGTCTGAAGTACAAATCAAAAAAATGCTGAAACTTGAAGTGTTATGGCCTTTCCTTTAATTACTCCCCTAAGAGTATCTCAAACAGAATGGCTAAAACTCCAAAATAACTAAATTTTAGTTATTCAAAGGCAAAAAACATACTCTAACAAAAGATGTTCAGAGTAGGTAAAATACATTTTTGATACAATGATGCTCTACATTTAGAGTCTCACTTTAGCATTATGTATAAATAGTTTGTAATATATTCTCTCTCCTCTTGTCATTTTCCACATCTCTTGTCCACTCTTTGTCTTTCCCTCAATTTTTTTTTCTTTTAATAATCCTAACAAAAGTACAAGATATGAGAAATAATATTTAATTAAAATATAAAAAATCTGTTAGAACATTTATTGAGAAATTAAGTAGATAAAATAAAAAAAGTGCACTTTTAGATAGTTAAAATACAAAACCTTGTTGGAGATGCTCTAATTCATTACTTTTGATGATTCTTCTTGTCAATGAGAAAAGGAGAAATAGTAAAACCATTGCATTTGAATGGAAAGGTGACATTTACATTTTGGTGCGAGAATGTGAGGGTTTTTTTAATGGGGTGGGGGTGGCAGTGGGGGGAGGGGGCATTGGGGTGCAATACATTTTGGGCCAACCTATCAATCATGTTGGGTCAAACTGTTTCGTGTCGAGTCTTAGTATGTCGTACATTTTTTTTATTGGCTTTACCCATACCCAATTCGTTTATTAATTCGATCGGGGTCGGGTTTTTTCGTTTATGATACGGGAGACTTAAAAAAAATTTAAATCTTCTAATTTCATGTTGTCTTAACAGGTTTTGTCAAAGGACAAACAAAAGCTATCTTTAGCAACTGAGGTTTCTAAGCTTACTCATTTAAATTTGACAATATCATCCTTCCTTTTTCGCTCAAACAATTGTCATTGTTACCAACAATCTTGCTATTAACCAGCAAGATTGTTCTCCATCTAGGAACTGGTGTAGTCTCTTGCCATTTGATAACAACCAAACAGAGAGAGAGAGAGAGAGTGTGTGCGCGCTTTCTTATTGTGTACGATATGAAGTAAAAAGTTGTTATAGTTGGTAAAAAGTTGTCAAAAAGAATGAAGGATTGTTTGCTTAGATCTTGTGAGCATTTTGATTGTGTGTTTTGAGTGCTCAAGTTGTGTTGTGTAGTTGTGTTTTTTGTTTAGATCTAGGGGAGCATTTTGATTGCATGTTTGAGTGCTCAAGTTGTGTTGTTCCATGAGAAATCTAAAGAGATCAACAGGCTCAGTAGCTCTGCAACGTAGCAAATCCATAATTACCCACCAGAAAGGCAAAAATGAAAAATTACAGATCATCAACAATGCAAGCAAGCAACATAAAGGCATAAATGTAGTTTCGGTAAGAGAAACCCCAAGCAAACAAATTAGTCTATATACCTTATCAAATACTTTTGTAGGATCTTTTTGTTCAACCATGTCTTGACAGGTCACGATGCATCCATATACTTGGAAGACTCGATTTGATGCTTGTGCAGATTGAGCATGGTCTCTGGCCTAAGAAATTGTAAGCAATTCTGATTATAAGAAATCTAAACATTAGTAGCAGAATGTTGCGATCCAACTGAGAAAAATTTGACAATTTCTTGAAAGACGTAAGAGAAATCAAATAAAGTATCAAGTCAATCATCGAAATGGAAACTCAGATATGAAGAACACATGCCACTCGTGTGTGCTTCGTGGGAGCTGACCCAATTGTCTTGAAGCCCATCCGAGCATCCTTTTTATGTGCTTGTTGGAACTTTCTTCCACTGGAGATGTACTTCTCGATAAGAACATAACAAAAAGACTAAACTACTTTGGCATGATATTTAGGCCTAAATACTTCCCAGTACAAGTAGAATAAGATTTTGAGTGTTATTATGGTGGATTGGCTTGGCGGCCTTATATCCAAACAAGATTAATACCCAAAACAACATTAAAATCTACTAGACCTTCGCCGCATTTTTCCTCTGGATAAGGACACTTTCAAAATCCTGATAACAGGTGATACAAAGTGCAGAGATGCATTGCCATTAAAATCCATCAGGTTAGCCAGACCTCCCATTCAATCCTGTGAGAGGTTGAAGGCAGTAATCCTCCTAAGGGTAACTTGGATAATGGAAAGCGTTTCCAAAGTGCTTCATTCTTGACAGCTCAAACGAAGAAAGAAAATGCAAATTATACTCTGGACGTAAGTTTAAACTAGTTAAAAAACAATCTCAACAATTACCGTGCCAAATGCTTCTGGAAGTCTGCTGGGATCCACAAATGTGTGTGGCAGAAGGTTGAAAATCTCTTGTGCACCATGGGAAGCTAACAGAAACGTGCAGTGTTACCCGAAAAGGAGGAGTAGAAAGCACATGAAAGGAGTGGGATTATAATAGTTAACAGAAAAGGTTTTGAACACATGTTCTTATGCTTGAGCGTGAAAAAACAGAAACTGCTGTGGTGGGTTGCTTAGAAGAAACATTTTTTCCATAGCATAAGTTGTTCACAAAAAAGGAAACCTTTGGCTGCAGATATGACATCACTATTCAATACTACAGCTTGCCAATCATCACATTGATGTGTTTTCATAGTTTGGGAAAAAAGAACGATGGAAGAGGTATATCATCAAAGCATCATCTATGATTTCCAAACATTACAATACCTTTTCCTGAACCAGTGAAAACAAAAACTAGAGGACAGATTCCAGAAGGAAGTCCATTTGTTGCTATCTCTTCACCGATAGAAATTACTGCAGACTTTGCAGCTGCCAACGAAGAGTACATGTAAGATGCACCCAATGAGAGGAAAGGAGTTGAATATCCCAGATTAAGATACCCTGAAATCAAAATAAATAACTTTACCACTATTAACAGATGGCAATTCATGGTCCACAGAATCCCTCAACAAATACTTCGATCTTGTTGAGTGAGACTACACTATAACAAATCCAGAACACTAATTGAAGCTTTACTTTGAAAAGCCCATAAAAGGAGACAATAAATTTGTAGACACCCTTTTTTAGGCTATGATAGGAAAGAAAGAAAAATGTCCATAGACATGTTCTTTTCATAAGAACTTAATGTCATAGGCTTTCCTCATTGTTTCCAAGAAACAGTTCCGTTTTGACATCCAGCTCAGGTCATTTTGATTATCTCTCGTACAATCAATATTTATAGCAATCACTAAAATCAAAGGAGACCAGCCAAAAATCATTGGTGTCTGGAATAGGGGACCAGGAATATGATACAGATGTGAATCAAGGGAGACGTTCCTATTATCATGCAAACTTCTTTCACAAACCAAATATAACTAAATCAAAAAGAAAAGTCCATAAATACTAAAATTGAAACAACCTAGATATCCAAAACACTACATGATAGTGAGTGCTGTGGAACATACGTTGTCCTAATCCCCGTAAGAGGTCAATCATTGCAACTCTACCAGCAAATTTTCCAAAAGTGAGTAACCTTTTTCCATGATCCCCATCTATAAGCTCATAATCAAACAAAGTCGCCCTTTCAGCCAAAATCTAAACATTAGGGAGAATGTCAGCAAAATTAAAATCATCATGGTTCCATGAAGACATCTGCAATGAATCGATGAACAGAACAAGAACACACCTTATCAAGCAAAGGCATGTTTTCTTTCTGTGCTTTGTGAGTATGGGAGAAAAAGGCATAAGCCCTGTCAGGAAGAATCATCTCAAGCTGCATCCAAAATAGATAGTTATACAGGAGTTTGATGCTTTAATCATTTAAGCAGTAGATCACAGCGAAGTCTTGGCACCTTTGGTTGCTTAATACCCAAAATAAGACCACATTCTGACAAATCATCTGATATTTCACAACCAACATCCTCATAAAGGGCATCATGGTGGATGCGCTTTGTGGATGGCTGCACAATAATGCGGGCTACTCCAGTTTTACCCCTGCCACCATTCAGAAGTCGAGCACAGTGCGACGGTGTTAGAGGAACCCTTCTTTCCCACTTGTATCTACACTCGGAGAGGATTCCAACAACTCCATTGCCAAGCATGGTATATTCACCGGTCTCAAACTAACACAATATTATTGGATTAGACAATAGAAGAGTTCTACAGCTGTTATTCATGAGCCTAATGTAATCTATTTGGAACAACTTCTTTTGCAAGTGCCAACGTGTCTGTTATAATGAAATTCTCATCAATCACTAATAATATACATTTGTATGATTTTCATAAGTAAAACATGCATTTATTTAGATTGTTAAGCGAGCATGAACAAGAAAAACTTCACGCCACTGGTTTCCACTTTGTTACGTCATGTCTGCTATGTTTCATCTCATTGAATCTGAGCCCCAATTTTGACGTAGCTACTTCAAAGGCTTGTCCTTTATCATCATCTTGTCAGCTATTTCAAAGTTGACAGAGTGAATGCCAACAAAAAATTAATTAAACACTCCCTTCAATAAATCATAACTCACTACCAAATTTTGCAAGACAATTCTGAATTCATAGTGGCTTCTCCCCTATTAGTAGTTATACTATGACTTGGATAGTTATCCATGCACTTCTGATCAATGATAATCAACAAGTTTTCCGAAAATTTGTCTTCCTTGGTAGTAGATAAAAGTTAAGAGACTGCTTGCTTAATCTTTTGTGAATCTAATTTCAACTCTGAAGCAAATAAAAAAAAACCACCAGTATCAGAGACATTAGTGACAATTTTAACATTAAAGTAACTAATTTCAAGGAACCTCCATAATATATGCTTATATGAAATCTATACCACCAATAAAAGGCAGCTAAAGTGAAAAGAATTTTAATTTTCAAATTTACCCCTAAACAATTCTCATTTAAGGTTTAGACCCTACAACTATTGTAACAACATATTTAATATTTAGACCTTAGAGTTACATTAACTGATTCGGATTAAAATGAATATCCATTGTAACTGTAGGGGATTTATCCACGCGTTCGGGATGTCCTCCCCCCACCGAAGGATTTTGGCGGACCTGGCGTAAGCCTACACTTTGTGTCAGTAGCCTTTACCTCTCGTTCTCCGCGGGCACACTTGTCCCACATCGACGGAGAGTCGTCTCCCCCCCCTCGCAAATACATCAGGTCAGCCAAAATCCTTCGATGGGGAGAGGACATCCCGAACGCGCGGATAAATCCCCTACAGTAACCTAGCATACAAAGACAACCAATAATCCATATCCTACCTATCATGCATATCACCAAAAAAAATCATCACATCAGAACAGGATTGAAAGTTTTTGAAGCTAAGGAAAGTGTGATATCTTCTGGCCAAACCCTCAAGTGAGGAAGCTTATGCTGCCATGAATTTGCCTCAAACATGGCTTCCCTTCAATGAGGCTGATATATTCAAAAGCCAGGTGGTGGAACAGGTCCTAAATTTTGTTCTTTACTGGTTAATAAAAAAACTGACCTATTAATACTTAATTTGGTTCATGCTGCATAAACAGAGCAGATTGTCCTGGATGGTTTTTTTTCCTGCATGCTGCAAGTTTATTTCAATTTGTAGCAAGTCTTATTCTTCTCATGCTGTTTTAAAGTAATCAAAAATCAAAGACCAATATGTGGCTTGGATCTCATTTGTCAAGGAATATTCAGGTGTACTTATTAGCTAAACATGTATATATTTTGTTCTGTTGCAGACTGGTGGCTTTGCTGCCAAAACAATTGTTGAACTTCTTGACATGTTTTGCCACTGCAATTACATCAACTAGCAAAGATTAATCTCTCTCTCTCTCTCTCTCTCAATTTGATGTCATTTTGGTGTCCTGATCTTCTTGTTTCTGCTATCCTTTTTTCTTGGGAATTAATTGTTATAATTATCTTTGGATTTCTGTTGAGATTAACATATTGATATGAGTTTTTTAGTTATTGAAGATAATGGCTACAGAAACCATTAAAATTGAACTTTTATTTGCTTTCCTAGGATTTCTTACCACACAAACATAGAGGCTAAGAAAATGAAAAAAAAGGGTATGTCTGAATGACTCATGCAATATGGTACAGGAACACTTCTTCCCCCTATTTGTTATAAAAACTGGTAAGAGTCAAAGAAACATGTCTACAAAAGGTATAATAAACACATTTAGTTATAGGGTAGAGGAACACTTTTCCTACAAAGATCTAAAATTTAAAATATACATGAGCTCGAAAATGAGACGTTACAATAAGTCGGTTGTATTAGTATCAGATAACATAAAATGACACGATTTACATGTATTACAAGTATTATATGAATAACATTATATTCGTGTCATTATTTATCAAGTACTTACATGAATCTTATTAAAATAAGAGATTTTTTTTACTTACTTTTAATATTTTGTGGATCTAGTGTATTCTTAGTTTACAAAACTTATGATTATGGGCTGAGCTGAATAGTTTTAGATTATTTATTTAGAGAAACACTACACAATAATCACGTTGGGTTAACATTAGATTCAACATGATTAATTAAAAGTACTCAACACGAAACTCCACATAATTCAACCTTACTCATAAATACACAAATTTTGAAATGCCTACGATTCAGTATAAGAACAGGTTGATCATATGGAGTGGTTCAATGTCTAAGTTTAGTCTCTGTAACACAGAAGTGTCTCAGATTCAACACTTCTTTTACTGTCAACCACCTTTTCTAAACTCACTCGAGCTACCGTGATCAATATCCAAACTACGGAGAGTAGTATACAAGTCTAAACATTCTCTAACAATATATATATATATATATTGATGATGAAGTATGTACCGTTTCCCGTGAGAGTCTGAAATAATCCGAGTAGTCCCGTCCACAACTCAGCCTCCTGTACTACCTCTGAAAATTTTCAAGAGAAGGCCAACAAACGGACATCTTTTTATGGCAACCATTCATTACCAAACGAATTGGTTTGATGAGGAAGTGGGATCGTCTAGTTGGCCCACGGCGTGACTATTACCTCACTATAGAGACGCGTAAACGGATAAGGTCGCACCGTGACATGAAATCACTTTGGGTCATATCAACTTTATTTTCTAACTTCTTTTCCGCTTTAGGAACTTTTCTCTTGCGTACTTGTGCATTTCTGGATATGGTAAACAAATGGAAAGTGGTCCAACTATTTATTATGCAAATAATTTTTAAAATGGTACCGAAACTTTCAAATATCTCAATTTTATCTATCAATTATTAATTTCATGTCAATAAATTTATTTTATTTATTTCATCCACTAGAACAAACTATCAATAACGAGTGAAATCAACTACCAACTATCAATAAAATTTTGATACACAGTCGTCCACATCATTTGCCTCCATTTGTTTTAATTAAGAGTAGCAATCTAGTCGTGTCATATCGGGTCATTACAAGTTCATGTCAAACATTAATGAACCCTAATCCAACCAATTTAATTAATCATGTTGAGTCGACTTGATTTGTTTATTTTTGTGTCGTGTTCGTATTTGTGTTGACTTACATAAACTTTGAATACAAAATTTAACGTCAATATTCTATTTTCACTTAATTGAATTCATGCTCATACTTTTTTTACAAACTAAAAATTAACTTAATAAAATATAATAAAAATAATGAGTAAAAATGTCTTTTTTATACAACAATTATGTTAGTGCTTAATAAACAGTTACAAATAATGAATATTTTATTTCTACAATACTAATTAAACATGTCGATCGTATTAATTTCGTGTTGTTCGTGTAACCATACAAACAAGAAAATAAAGAAAATGTCAATTCTTAAATAAATGAGTTAATTGTGTCAATTTCGAGTTTGATGAGTTGAACTCGAACATTACCCGTTTATATTTTGTTTTCGCATGTCAGGTCATTTTCGAGTTTGAATCGTGTTGTTGTGTTGAGTCAAAAATTGTCATCCCTTGTTCTAACTAGTGAAATGGATGGAAAAACTTTATTGGCATAAAATTAATAGATGAAAGACTAAATTAAAATAATTAAAACTTTCAAGGCCATTTTAAAATTGCTGACAAATTTTAAGTACTACTTATGATATTTTTACACTTTCCTATTTTTTACGCTTTCTTATTTGGGCATTGCTATTTAGGGAAAGCTGAACTGATGGATCATTTCTTATTTGATAACGATAACGACCACCGACTCAATAGAAATTGAGGGCGTAAATGAAGATTTTAAAATAGTTTTTAAAAATTTACAGATAATTGTATTGGAGGTCCCCAAAATATGAAATTTATCTTATTTTAGTCCCTAATATTTTAATTGTATCATTTTAGTTCTTGAAATATTGAATATATTTTTGTGTGGTCCTCAAGCAGATAACATCCAAATTGTTAAAAGGTTTTTGATCATAAACTTATCATGTAATAGTTAAATATAAAAAATAAAAAAAATTGGATAACTCTTGACCAAAATTTGGATAGCTCTTAACAAAAAATGTGTAATAAGGATTATTGTTGACCAAAATTTGGATACCTTGTGATCAAAATTATGTAATTTAGGTCTTTAACCAAAATTTGGATAAAAATTTGGTTAAAAGTTATCAAAATTATTTTTTTGCTCATATTTAAGTATTACGTAATAAATTTATAATAAAAAATTGTTAACAATTTGGATGTTGTATATTTGATGGACCACATAAAAACATATTCAATACTTTAAGAACTAAAATAATGCAATTAAAATATTATGAACCAAAATGAGAGAAACCCTATATTTTGGGGACCTCCAGTACAAATTGATGAGTCAAGCCCAAGAGCCCAACTTATGTTACATGCTCAAGGGCCCAACTCCAAGAGGTCTAGCTAGCCAAGCCCAAAGCAATCTACACATGGACAAGCTCACCAAGGTCAAGGAGCTACATCAGCAGAGGACATGCAAAGGTCATCCAAGAGCCTCATCTACCACTTTGGAGTAAGGGTTTTTTCAAGAGCCTCTTTTACCACCTTAGAGTAAGGGTCATGAAGAGTCTCATCTACCATCTTGGAGTAAGGGTCAACCCTTACCTCATCCTTTGACTGAGTCTCATGGAAAGCACCTCAACCGCCTCGCCCCATTGAGAAGAAGTCGTCAGCT